AGATCCGAAAATCCTTAGATTCCAATATCCCTAGATCCCAAAATCCTTAGACTCCAATATCCCTAAATCCCAAAATCCTTAGATTCCAATATCCCTGGATCTCAAAATCCTTAGATTCCAATATCCTTGAATCCCAAAATCCTTAGATTTCAATATCCCTAGATCCCAAAATCCTTAGATTCCAATATCCCTAGATCCCAAAATCCTTAGACTCCAATATCCCTAAATCCCAAAATCTTTAGATTCCAATATCCCTAAATCCCAATATTGCTAAATCCCAATCTCCCTAAATTCCAATATCCCCAAATCCCAATATCCCCAAATCCCAATATCCCCAAATCCCAATATCCCTATATTCTCATGTCCCTGAATTTCTTCCTATTATGAAAACCTCAAATATCCCTAGATTGTATACCCATAGAGTTGCTTATGATTCAAAGACACTTTTGATGTCAAATATCCTTGTAATTAAAGTATTTCAAAAAATATCCCTAGATCGCCCGCGTCTCCAGTGTCTGACTGTTCATTTCATCGCGTGACTTATCGAATGTCGATTGTAGTGCCGGGTCGGTGAACGGGTTCACGAAAAAAACGAGTAACCGTCGCGACGTCGCGGTCGTTTCTAACGGCCTACGGGAACTACGTTTCACCGGTCTAAGTCAAGGTTACGTTTGCTATTGTTCCAGGCACTCATCAGGAACACGACGCAGAAGGAGCTGCAAACTATAGCGACGTACTACTTCGACGGCAAGGGAAAGGCTGTGCGGCCAATGGTAGCAATTCTCATGGCACGGGCTATCAATTACCACAAGGAAAGAAAGTGAGTTTGCGAGGGACACGCCCCTGAGGATTCCTTGAAGTTCGACGTTAATAAACTTTTATTGTGGGATTGTGATTAATTGGGACCATTTGTGATGATGTCGACGACTATTATTGATACTGTCATATTATAGTTATTTCCATGATGTTGGTTATATTTTTGTTGGATGATAATTGGGTGATGTTTGTATAATTTTATTTGTGGAATTTTTATTGTGTACACTTTTAGATAAATTTTACTATGTGTACTTTTATTATTTGCTATGTTAAGGTGCACTTTTATTGTTTACAATTTTAACTTGTACAATTTTTGTTTACACTTTTACTATGTGCACTTTTATTATTTACACTTTCATTTTGATGCTTGAAAATGCTAAATTTATGAATGGGTACAATGGTCGTCTAAGTGTCTTTAAATTATAGAGATTGTTGGAGAGGTTTCTTTAAAATCTGTGTTAATTTTTGAGCTCAGGAATTAATATTAATTAATTTAATATTGGTTAATCATGTTAATGTTAATTGATTAATTTGATGTCGTTTGATTAATTGAATGTCAATTGATTAATTCAAAGTTGATTAATTGTTTTAACATTGTTTGATCAATTTAAAATTGATTAATTTAATGTCAACTTAAAATTGATTAATTTTACGTCAATTTGAAATTGATTAATTTTACGTCAATTTAAAATTGATTAATTTTGCATCAATTTAAAATTGATTAATTTAGCATCAATTTAAAATTGATGAATTTAACATCAATTTAAAATTGGTTAATTTAACATCAATTTAAAATTTATTAATTTAACATCAATTTAAAATTTATTAATTTTACGTCAATTTAAAATTGATTAATTTTACATCAATTTAACATTGATTACTTTAACGTCAATTTAAAATTAATTAATTTTACGTCAATTTAAAATTGATTAATTTTACATCAATTTAAAATTGATTACTTTTCAAGCGAAAAATTTTCAAAATCATAATAAATTTTCCCACATTTTTATGTGAAGTTGACATTCGTTCTTTGCAGAACAATTGCAATAATATTTTATCAGATATCTATTACCATAAATCGTTCAACAAAATGTATCAATAATCCAGCATAATTTATCCAAACATCAATAATTTATTTGTCAAACGCGACGTTAAAGACGACACCGATTAGAAAGCAAAGAAAGAATGCGTGCGGTGTCTTTCTAATTCATAAATCGGCTCGAAAGCAATTATTACATTCGTGGTCGTCGGGTTAGGCGACGATGAATATGAATGAGATGTCCCGTGAATGAGAACTAGTGTAACACACACAATCGCACGTGCTCGGGTAAATACCGATGAACATGACTTTCAGATGTATGAAACTCAACGAATATAATCGTTCTGGTAACAAACGAGTTTCCTTGTCAGCGAACGTGTCAGCTATTGAATACCTATCTGTCGCATCGATTTCTTCATCTTCAGCTCGATCATTGTAACTGACTTCGCATAAGCACTCGAAAGCGTGTTAGCTTCGTGTAATGAATATTATCTCCTTGTATCTGCGAATTCTATCAATTTCTTCGCGGCTTTGTAATTTAATTGCTTGTAATCTGATTTTGAAATGATGGAAGGATGAACGATGGAACGTGATGTATTTGCTAGTTTTGCTTGATGCGAATTAACACGTTTTTACAAGTATTACTAGTTTTTACATAGCTAGTAATGAATTGGTAGTGAATAATTAAGTAATTGTTTGGTTTTAGCGATCTCTTAGCATCGCAACGACAGGTGGCGATGATTTCCGAGATGATCCACAATGCTTCTTTGATACACGATGACGTAATCGATCAGCCAGACTTTCGCCGGGGTAAACCTTCGGTCAACGTCGTTTGGAGTCAGAAGAAGGTAAGAAATATTTATCATGATTATTTAATGGAGCAGTGTTTCCCAAATTTCGAAATTTCCAAGTCGCTAAATTTTCAAATTTTTATATTTCCACGTTTGGATAGTTTGGAAATTGCTATATTTTCGAATTATTACATTTGCAATATTTTAAATTTCCAAATTTCTAAAATTTACGTTAATAAATTTCCAAGTTTCCTAATTCGTAAATTTATAGCTCAAGACCCCAAATTTTCAAGTTCCTAATTTTGTAGAATTTATCAATTTTAGAAGAGAATTTGGAAATTTGGAAATTGTTAAGTCTTCGTCTTAATGAATTAAGATTAAAAATGCTTATCAATACCTATTGGTAGATCAATATTGATAGATGTGGTAAATGAATTCATCTTAACTAAGTTATTAATACATATGTATCAATATCTATCAATACTTAGTAATATCTATCAATATTTATCAATGTCTATCAATATCTAATCAATATTTGTCAGTATCTATCAATATTTATCAATATCTAATCAATATTTATTAGTATCTATCAATATTTACCAATATCTATTAATATCTATCAATATTTATCAATATCTATCAATATTTATCCATGCCTAGCAATATTTATCAATATCTATTCAATATTTATCAGTATCTATCAATATTTATCAATATCTATCAATATCTGTCAATATTTATCAATGTCTATCAATGTCTATCAATATTTATCAGTATTTATCAATATCTACCAATATCTATCAGTATTTATCAATGTCTAGCAATATTTATCAATATCTGTCAATATCTACCAGTATATATCACAATACCTAATCAATTTCTAATCAATATCTATCAATATCTATCAATGCCTATCAATATCTATCAACATCTATCAATAACCAAAGTTATAGCACCCACACCATTAACCTTTCCAACTACCAAAATCCTAAAATTCCCATTTTCCAAGAACGTTCCACCATTTCCAAAGATCCACCAAGAATTTCGATATTTTCTTCCATCGGTCGTCGAACGCGTTGATCGATGAAAACCGAAACTCTCTCTGAAATACCAGAGAGAGGAAGGAGGCTAATGCGATTCATGACTCTATCATACTGACCGTGCACGCTTTCTTGGCCTGGAACCGGAAACGGACCTCGTCCATTTTGTCTGTTCACCTGGCGATACTTCGACGTATAGAATCACTGAAAATCGGTGGCGCGATTAACGACCCGTTGGAACGAACAGCGTGAAATTAGCTCGAAAGTCGATGATTTTCCCAATTAGATTTCTCGTTGGCATTGTTTGCTGTTATAGCTCCTTTCAAAATTATATCCGATTCCTTGGAAACATGATTCATTGTCAATTTTAGTAAAAAAACTTAAATCAAGAGAAATTACTTGAGGATGTGATCATTTCTGTGTAGTGAAAGATTATGTAGTAAGGTGTTTAATCTGGTGAAGATTAAAGACTGATTAAAAATAACTTTGTTCGAAATCATCTGTAGTGTATAATATAATTATTATAATTTGTTGAAGATAAATTTATTTGAAAATCAAGGATGAAGACTTGGATCAGATTTTTATGAAGTTTGTAAAATTTATAAAATTATATTTTTGTATTCGTTTTTGCAAATTTTGAAATTTATTCAATATTTTGATTGTTCTAGTTTATAGGTTATAGTTCATATGTTATACATTATATGTCACATGTTATACATTATACATCACATATTAAAACTCATATGTTATATATTATATGTCATACGTTAAAACTCATATGTTATACATTATGTGTCACATATTATAGCTCATATGTTACATATTATATGTTACATATTATATGTCACATGTTCAAGCTCACATGTTATACATTATATGTCACATATTAAAGCTCATATGTTATACATTATATGTCACATATTAAAACTCATATGTTATACATTATATGTCATATGTTAAATCTCATATGTTATACATTATATATCACACGTCATACATTATAGGTCATACAAATTATATCTTATAGAATATAGGTTATGTTAAATCCCCGTTCAACACTAATAACATATAACAAAACATACATAAACCAAACACTAATAAAATAAAATTAATTTGAGCATCTGCTACAGGAGAATTAATTTTTGCTAGAACATCCAACTCTGATGGTTCCGTTACGAAACTTGCGTATACTCGAACAATTTTTAAACACACCGATCCCATCGGGGTCATAATATTGCATGTGATTATGCAAAATATGTGAGTATGCGAACGGAGAATGAATACTAATCTCCGTAAGTTGGTCGGAAACTATTATTTACCTCGCTGCCATGGATTTCATCGGCGCTCGATGCAATTTCGAGCATTCGGTGTCGAAACGATTTGATTAGCTGAAACTTTCGTGTAATGGAATTTTGATTGTGGTAATGATCATTAGCGGTCGTTATAGTTCACCATAGTTTCGGTTCTGTGAGCATGACGAACATACGAAATAATTATTTTAACGCTGTACCAAAATGGCGGACTCTGAACGTTCAAATCTAAAGAGAATTGAAATCTTTTCAAATATTAAATATTGAAGAACTATGTAAATACGATGGAGCTTAAATTAGCTTCCGAGTGAATCATGTGAGAAGTATAATTTAAATAATTACTCGTATGATTTATCGTAACTGTATGCTGCATCCGACCTTACATCGCCATCGATCAAATTATGTAAATGACAATTAAGAAAAGTGTACATTGAAGCTATTAATGTAATTTCCAGGTTTCAAGGTTGCGTACCTTTGTACAAAAGAGGTTGCCCGCGGCCTTTCCTATCGTAGAAACATTTGTACGAAAGAAGTTGCAAAGGAGCAACAGTTACATCGTGATAACATCTTTTTTCTTGGGAGTGATGTCACTGAAGAGATACGAAGGTCACCTTCACCTTTTTTTTTCTAAGTGGAATGACACATTTTCTCGGCGTTGTGCGATAAAGAATGCGTATTCTTTCAGAAATGATGAATGCAAAAATCTATGAACGGTAAAGTCGTTCAAGATCACCGTTGAAAGAAGAAACAGAGAGTTCTTCTTGAACTTTAATACTAAACGGTGTCTGGTGACCTAAATCGTAGCGTTAAACTACATTTTCTCCATTCTTTTATGCCAATTGCAATTTCATTCGGAACTCGAGAAACTGGTACAATTTCCGTTGATGTATACGGATGTAGTGTAAACTATAGTATAGTACTACTATTGTACATATAGTACTATTTTCTAGTAATACTATTCTGCACATAGTAGTATTTTATAGTAATACTATTCTACATATAGTAGTATTTAATAGTAATACTATTCTACACATAGTAGTATTTTATAGTACTACTATTCTACACATAGTAATATTTTATAGTGCTACTATTCTACGTAGAGTAGTATTTCATAGGACTACTATTCTACACAAAGTAGTACTTTATAGTACTACTATTCTACATATAATGCTATTTTATAGTACTACTATTCTGCATATAGTACTATTTTATTGTATTACTATTCTACATAGAGTACTATTTTATTGTACTACTATTCTACATGTAATACTATTTTATAGTACTACTATTCTACACACAGTACTATTTTATAGTACTACTATTCTACACACAGTACTATTTTATAGTATTACTATTCTACATAGAGTACTATTTTATTGTACTACTATTCTACATGTAATACTATTTTATAGTACTACTATTCTACACACAGTACTATTTTATAGTACTACTATTCTACACACAGTACTATTTTATAGTATTACTATTCTATAGTACTATGGTACTATAGCATGTAATACCATGACCCAAGTGTAATGAGTAAATTTTAGTATAACACAGTATTTTATTACAGTATAGCATTTTTTCTTATGGTATAGTAGCCTACTACTATGGTACTCTATTGCTAGAAATAAGTATTATAGTATACTATAAGAAATAAATACTATACTGTAATAAAATACTGTGTTACACTAAAGCCTGCTCAGTGTTACTCGAGTAGTAGTACTATAGAGTACTACACTATATCCAGTTGTAGAACAATAGAATAGTAGTATAGTAGTTTGGTAGAAGATTTCAACAGTAGATTTTATAGTAGAATAATAGTGCTACCATGACGAAACGCAATAGTAGTATAATTGTGTAATGAAGTAATGTATAGTAGAATGTAATAATATAGTGCTATATAGTAGAATAGTAGTATTACCAGGATGAAGCTGAATAGTAGTATAATTTTATGGTGTAGTAATAAATTAATAGGTAAATATAGTGTAATAATATTGTAGTACAGCAGTACAGCAGTATAGTGGTATAGTAGTATAGTAGTGTAGTAGTGTAGTAGTATAGTAGTATAGTTGGTATAGTTGGTATAGTTGGTATAGTAGTATAGTAGTATAGTAGTATAGTAGTATAGTAGTATAGTAGTATAGTAGTATAGTAGTATAGTAGTATAGTGGTATAGTAGTATAGTAGTACAGTAGTATAGTAGTATAGTAATATTATAAAAGAATAGATTAGTAATATCGTTGAATATTAACCTAATATAGTAGCTACAAAAATGAAACCGTAATACAGTAACTACATAACACCTGTGAATCTAACGCGCAGCTAAAAGTGGCCATATAACGCGCGGCGATAAATCGCATACGAAGCTTTATTCCCACATACAAAACTTCCAATTACGTCAACGCAATTTTCTACTACAACAATAATCAACTCGTTAATTAACAACAACTCGAGTCGTCCAATCAAAGTAAACGCAATCAATTCGATCCACGAAACGCATTCCCCGCGTAAATATGCAATTTACCGAGCGGACTGAAAACTGTGACGGCCTTGAGCAACGAATTAGCAAGTCACAAAGAAATGGAAAGCCGACAAATGGCCACGAAAGTCCCGTACTGGACGATCGAGCCCGTGCACTGGGTTAACAAATTGTGTAACAGTGCCGTATTAACGGGATACTAATTGAATGGACTGTTGCGTATGT